AAAACGAAATACTTAAAAATTTTGCAAAAAAATTTAGAAAGCAGTGTATCAAAATTGAATTTACCTAGCGATTATTGGTTTCAGTCTGACAATGATCCGAAGCATACCGCTAAAATAGTCAAAGAATGGGTATTATATAATGTTCCACACGTGGTGCCACATCCACCGCAAAGTCCCGATTTAAACCCCATTGAACATTTATGAGATGAAGTAGAAAGATGATTAAGAAATACGGTTATTACTTCGAAAGAAGCGTTAAAACGAAATATTATTGAAATATAGCAATCAATAGATGCTAATGTCACTTCTAAGTTGGTCCACTCAATGGAAAACAGACTTATGGCTGTTATAAAAGTAAAAGGTGGATCAACTTCCTATTAAAACCTTTAATTATTCAATTTAAATAATTATTAATTGTTTCGTTCGAATACTTTTGTGAGCTATTTCTGGTACGTGTTTACAATAAATGTACTGTAAAAACGCTATATATTGTTGAATTATTTTCTAATTTTGCTTACGCAGTCTTAAGACCCATCCCTTGTCATATGTGTCATATTATATCAAATACTTCAGTTTATCACATATATTTTATTAATTGAATGTTATAAACGTAAGCGTTCGAATACTTTCGTGTATGAGTGTATACCATTTCAACCTATTCAAACTGTTTTGGCATTCATGCAGCCAAGTTAAACGATATTTGTTTTAGAAACTTCGGAATCCTCTGAACATTTAGTGGAGTTCAGTTAGTTTCTGTTAAGAAATTCAACACGCACTGTAGTACGCCGACACAACAAACTTGGGATCAAATAGACGTACAAGAATGCTTGTCGATAAACAAAGACGAACTGCCAACGATCCGTGGTCGCTCTATAGCACCCGACTCTTGTCCTCCGCAACCTCCTTGCGAGACACAAGCTGATCAGTCCACCCACCGTGAATCTCATGAGGCGCGAGGTGAGAAACGCGCAGTGGCGTTCGGTCGCCGACTTTATCATTTATTACAATCTATACATAATCTACAATAAATATTTCTAATGCGTTTCAACATAAAAATGGATCTTCACTTTCGATTTGTTTCGATTTTTAAATGTCCAGATGATATTTGTACTTTGGTTAGATACACTATTATAGCATAACAATTATTTGTATTATACTAATCAGATGATCAACTCTTGAAAGCTCTATCAATTTATCATAGGAATTTCACACAATTTTCTCTTGTTTTACTTACATTGTCACTTATTTTGAAACATACAATATAAATAAAAATAACTACTCGATTATTGTTAGTAATCGATGGACTACCACATTATCACAAATCATAATAATATGTCTGTTGTGTAATACGTTCATTGGCTCTCCAGTGTCGATAAAAGTTAAAAGGTATACAATATCAGAGCAACTTGTTTAATACTGTAAGTTTCGCTTACGTAAGAGATTACAATATAAACAAGTTTTTAAGTATCGGAATATGATTATAATATGATACTGTTTACGCATAAATAGTATTAAAAAATGTATGTATCAAAAAAATGATGATCACAAAAGTAAAACCAAAAAATGTAAATATCGTCAAATACGACGGATAATATTAATTATGATTTCGAATAATTGCCTTTCATTAACAGTGTTACAGATAGATTCAGGTAATTAGGTATTTTAAAATGAGAATTTACTAAAAGTGTTAGAAGACTTCAATTACCGAACAAGTATTGCAATATAGTAACTCCAATTAGGTAACAAGATCGAGACACAAAACTTACCGCGGAGATTGTTAAAGATTGGTCGCTACAGAACACATTCCAAACCAATTAAATTCTCCTGCACAGTCTCCCAACTTCAACCCGTAACCGGTATTGTCCCACTTTTGTTACATAAGCGGTGTTGCAGAGTCCGAGAGACTCCTCAACAAAGTGATTCAATATTATTAAACTTTCAGTTTCTAATACAAACTGGCATCGAGCATATTTTTTTAATTTATTTGAGAAAATACTTCTTGTGTGTACATTCCCAGACACTACGACACCCCGGTTATGTGTTAAGGTAATTGAAAATTTTTAGGAATCATTAGATTCAAAGTTACGAAAAATTAATATTTACAAGGAAAACCTTTTTTTTGAAACGTATACAATAGTAAATAAATTTATTGAATGATATTCGATTATAAACAATTTATAACAGTTTGGTTGCATCAAGACAATTAGCTATTGCAATTGAAGTTCAAAGCGGACAAATAGAATATTATATGCAGAACTCTATTAATTATTAAAGAAAAATCTGTTTTAGTTACTCACATATTCTCACTTCTCATTTGTATTTTTACATTAATTTGCATCTTTAATCTCTTCACTTTATTTGATATATAGTTTTTAATTTTGCACTCTATTTAAAAGTTTTGTGTTTCCAGGATATACGTATAGTATGTACGAGATATACTCTTTTGACCATCAATGTATGTATAATATATGATCTTCTCGTATTCATTGAATTTGCATTGTGAATTCAATTTTTATAATTAGAATAATGGAATTTTACAAATTCCACTACTTTACCTTTTCACAGTTAAAATACAAAAAATAATTCAATTCGAAAATTTGACTTCTTGTTAAAATTACATTTCACCACAGTATAATAAGTACATACATGTATGTATCTATATACATTTACACGAATTTATTTTTATGCGCACAAGCTATTCCATAAAAACACAATTCATGTCTTAATGTAAATACAATACTAAATACAGAAATAGGTAACATAATAGGTTCATCATAAATTCCATGGGTTTTCACTCACCTCAGGTTTCACTTTCACAAATTCATTAGAACTGTATTCTGCAACGGCTTCCTTACTTCTCTGATAACCTATAATTTGAAACGGGTTAGTAACGCTATCAGTTTATTAATACTATATATAATAAATTTAAATACTATAAATAATACTAAAAATATTAGTACTATACAAAATAAATTTGTATATAAAATTTATTAGGTGATATCGATGTTGCAATACCATGAATATAATAATATAATATTTCACTAATTGCTGTATATTATATTATATAAGTATATTAATATTACAATTGCAGAGATACAAATGTAGTTGTAGTACAGCAGTGCACAGCTTTTACACGAAATCCCTATGCCATATCCAGTATGATTTCGGTGTTTCTCATGGTGGAGGGGATAATGATGTGCTGCTATTATAGCAGCCCTCTCCTACCCCCAACCCTGAAAAGCACCGAAATCTCACTATCCCTAGCAACACTGTCCAGACTCACTCTCAGTGCAAACAGAAAAAAATAACTACGCAAGACGACGCATGCACGGTAGTCCCGCACAGCGGCGTGGTGCGTCTACCAAGCGTAATTACAATTCTGAACTACGATCGGACAGAGGCGCTACGTCACGTCGCCATCGTAGTTCAGAATTACAATCTTCATCCGGTAGACGCTCTGATTCCTTGTGCATGCGATGGCTTGCGTAGTTATTTTTCCTGATTACACTGCTTACTCTTTTTACACCATAACACCTCGAGTCTAGAATTTCACGAGACCTCATCTCAGTAGACAAGGATAGAAAATGATTGCAGAGAAAAGGAAAGAGGCGAATAAATAATCGGACACAAAAATATTTGTACACTATTTAAACTGGAATAACTTTCTTAAAATTTTACCAAGTAACTTTTTTTAGATGGTATGACTAGTCCCCCAGTCTCCCATAACGAAAATTTAATATATAGGGTGTCCCAAAAATGTCTCGTAATCCGGAAATGAGGGGTTTCTCGGATCATTTAAAGCAGCCTCTTCCTTTACAAAAATTTTCTCCAAGGCACCGTTAACGAGTTATTAACGAAAAACAGTGACCAATAAGAATCGAGTACGGCTGACGCGAGGCGGCCCAGCCAACCAGCGCACGAAGCCCAGTTCCGCTCATTGGCTCGATCGCCTCGCGCCAGCCGAGCTCGCCTCTCACTGGTCACTGTTTTTCGTTAATAACTCGTTAACGGTGCCTCGGAGAAAATGTTTGCAAAGGAAAAAGTTGCTTCGAATGACCTGAGGAACCCGCCACTTTCGGATTGCGAGACATTTTTGGGACACCCTGTATATACAGAGTAAAACCAATTCAAGTCGATCCAGTCAAACGTATTACAAACTTTTGATTATGTTGAAAAATGTTTCAAATAAAAGTTGAATGATTTCAGGGAGCACATAATCAGATGTTAATAACATTTTTCTATGTCAATGCTTAAAGGAGATATGGAAGTCAATTTCGTTTTTCTAAATGAAAGCACATATTTTTTGTTGCACCAATCAAAGCTCGTTATTTTTTACATAAAAGTACTAAACTTTTTATTGCGAAGGATCATTGATTTAGAAGATATTTTAAGATTAGTATATTTAGACTATTAGTAGTCTGTAGAAAGTACATAGAAAGTATATAAACTATTAGTAGTCTGCACAAAAGTAATGTTTACTTATAAACATCCATCAGAATGATCCATGATATTTCAAATGTTACTAGTATTAGCTATTTCTTAATATTAAACCTAAAATATTTTGAGACTACTTTCATCGAGGAGCTTATTATTATGGATTGCTTATTAATAAATTTAATAAATGTATCATAAGTGTGTTGTGTGAGAAGTATGTGCAATTGAAAAAGCATTAAAGTATCTTATTTGAAAACTATGATTCTTCAAATCGTAAATATACGATTTGATAAAANACGTTATGAAGCTGGAAGAATTCAAGAAATAAAATTACAGAAATTTTAGATTAATAGGACCAAATACCTAATGTGTCAGCGATGCCTATAAGTAATGTCGCTATTTAATAGTTATACAACATTTTATTTCATTTAACATTTAATACAGATTATTTTCACAATGCGCATATTATGTGCCAATGCATTTAATTAGTGCATAGGTCATGAAATAATAAATCACGTCCATGAACAAAGTGACAATCGCTACTCAGTCTAAAAGGAAACGTCATTACTTATCGGTATTTCTAATACGTAAATTAATAAAATGTTGCTGATTAATACCTGTACTTGGAGCGTATCCGTTATACAGTTCAGAAGCAAGGCTCTCTTGAACAGCTTCAATCGCTTCCTTTGGTGGTTTCAAGTTGCCAAATATTGTTGGATCGCCTGAAACATAAAAATTTGTAATCAAAACATATTCGTGAATGTAGAAAAACGAAGCTAATTTAATAACTAAAATAAACTAACAAGCAGAGTACAAGGTATTGAGGTCGCCGATTTTGTTGAGACTTCGTACATTTATAAGCCACCTGAAACTTGAAACAAGCCACCTGAATAACTTGCTTACTTTTATTAATAGAAAAAAGGTGTCGGACAATAGTTGTTCGATTTCAAGGATATATAATGTCGTATTAATAGTTTTTTCTTTATAAGTGGAGGCGTAGAGGGATAATTCTTTGTGGGATGATATTGTTTTCTATGTATATTTTGATAGAGTCTTTCGAGACGAATATAATCATGTATAAATGCACATCGTTCAAGGTTACAAAAGATCAACTATAATAGAAAATAAATCGTTGCAAGTCACTTCTATGCTGAAGTCACACGTTTTTTCTACATATTGGTGTCTTGCGGATATCGCTTTTGTAATTGTTCAAGCGCATCACTGAATGCAAATAAGCATTGAATCACAGGCATTCTCGGAGAACGAACTATATATACCGTAAAAATATTGTCTAATTGCATTCGGGATTACGCAAAGTAATAAATTAATCACTTCTTATGCATTATCAATTTGACGATAGAAGTATAAGAGTATCTCTTCCAAGCGACTAACATAACCAGTTCAGTGCAACGTCTCGTATCGTGATCGATGTACTTTCGCTGAACCGAATTTATTAGAACAATAATTAAACCGATTAGAATAATCGAAGCGATAGAGAGATCGTGGCTCGTTGCATAACGTTGACAAAATGCAGATGCTTTCACTGTCGTTTTTGACATTTGCCGTAGCCGCACTTTTTATTGCAGTGTTTCCGATGCTACTGATGAGGTCCTCACCGACATTTCAGGATCAACCAAGAACGAAAGAACAGGGACCAAAGGTGAACATTATACTTGCTTCGAGAATTAGTAGGATTACGATTATTACATCGTTGTAACAACAATTTTTAATAGCCAAGGTTCTAGAAAATTCGTTTTTGAAAAAGAGCGGTTACTTTGCAACGAAGGGCGCAGGAACTTTGAAGCTGTATAAACGCCGGAAAACGTGGAACGCTGCTCGAAAGTTTTGCCTCATGAAAGGAGGTATGGCCAGTGCAATCAGGAAAAGTGTCTACGCGAGGTAACGCATGCACAAGGAGTCCAATAGAGCAGCGTGGAGCGTTTACCGGGTGTACATTGTAATTCTAAACGACGCCCTACGCCGCTGTGCGGGACTACCTGCGCATGCATCGCCTCGCGTAGTCACGTTTCCTGACTGCACTGGGTATGGCAAAGCCACGGCATGTGTGCAAAGGAAGAGAGTAAAGGACATTCATCTTATAGGTCAGTTGGTCGTGATAGATTCCGCGCAGAAGCAAGCCATTTTGAGAAGCCGGCTGGCTAGAAAATCATTGCAAGCTCTCTGGATAGGCTTCCACGATCTGTTTGAGGAAGGATCGTGGACGACTGTGACCGACGAGTTGGTCGATGAATTGGACTATTATCCGTGGGCTAAAGGCGAGCCCAACAATTCCGGAAACATCATCTGGGGACGATGGCAAGTTTGCGTTCGTCTGCGAAAACAAGTCGTGTTAACCGCTTGCCCTACGATTTAAGTTTCAATAACGCGTGCCACAAAAAACAACAGGGTCAGTCACGCGTCGAGCCTTTTCACGGTTGCGCGAAACTGAAGTTGTGCCAATCGCACACGTCTTACGGAATGTAAATACATGTCTAAAGTACAGTTGGTTTAGTTTTGTGAGGTGTTTGATAAATAATTTCGAACGAATTATTAATGAACAGGAAAGGTTTAATATAAGTTTCAATAGTCTTATAATTGTATATGTATAATAATCTTATAATTGTATATAATAAATTTTAACTCCAATTTATAATAATTTACAATAAATTAGTGTAGTATCGTAATTTATTAGGTATGTTTAGGACGAGGAGGAGTGTTAGGCTTAAGACCGTAGTTCTAAGACTTTGTGTTTAGGGTAGGTAATAAAAGAGAAACGTTGGCGAAGGCCGGGTCAGATGGGAAAACCCTTGGCGACGGAGACCCGGCGGATGCGATCGCCACGTTTTGAGAAAAGGGCAGGCAGAGTCTACGAGTCGTAGAGTTGAGCGAGTAGTTATAATCTCAGTTGTAGGTACGGTACGCGATATTCTCTGTCTTCATCAGGCTCAGTCCTTTCCTAGTCTCTACAGATTCAGTATTGTTTCAATACTGAACAAAATCACTACATTAGTAGTCTTCGACCGTATGGTATCTTTCAAAGTATTTTGGTGCATGTAATGGGACTTTACATCTTTTACACTTCTACGCTGTTTCGCTACGTCCTTTATGTCTGGTACAAATTTCTCAGAGTTACTTTGATTTCAATGGTGTCGGGTTCCATAGTTTAAAAAGATTTCAGTTATTGTATATTTTAATCGAAGGTCTACCGACCGCTAAAATTTGCAGGCATATTGGCTATAAAAGTCGGTACCTTTAGACCGCGGCGTACTTGCAACACCTCCTTTAACACTTACAGGACCATAAGATTGCTAAGAGTAAATATTAGTTGTAACTGTTTATATTAGTTCGTTTGGACGTACAATAAATAAAAATCGTAAGGAAAATACATAACAATGTGTAGTTTTTTTGGAATTTTATGGAAAATATTTTTCCCAATGGACTATAAAGGTAATACAAATTATGGTTAGACTTACCATGCCATGTCTTTTATTTATTCGTTTACTATAACAAAATGTTAACTAAAACAATACAAAATTATAAAATAAAATTACTATACAAAATGATGTGCTAATTATGATATTCTACGAAGCAATTTCTTTTGTGAAGCAAAGATGAACATTACACATAGTACATATATTATGCGTCCTTTTTCTATGTAGCATTTAGCACAATTTGCACATCTTTTCATTTTTCCCGCCTTTTTCAAGTTGCTGGCAAATTGCGGTTTATACCAAAAATAACCAATAATTAAATACGACAATCACCAATTTTAAAATGGGGAAAAATGTTTCCCTTCGTCGTGAAGAGGTTAACCACTTGATATGTGTCATCATTCAAAATACTATAAGCATTTATACGATTATACCCTTATAGTTCTACAAAACAAGCGAGAGTACTTCCCTCGCACATAATTATTGTTAAATGATGTAGAACAAAAAACCCCAAAACCTATATTCTCTATTCTAACACGAGCCTAACTAACTTAGTTTATATTTAGCCCGACTGACGCACCACGACTCCCATTTCAGGCCCAATTATCTGACCACGTATCTCATATGTGGTAATCATTTCTGGCTCGATTATCTGATCACGTCTCTCATACGTGGTAATAATTTCTGACCCGATTATCTGACCACGTATCTCAGACGTGGTTGTAGAGCAAGGGGTTACACTTCAAATCACCTTACTGCTCTCAGTTACGTTGCTTTTAAGACGTGATTATCGTAGTTTGAAACAATATCTTACGTAATAAAATTATTAAGATTCGTTAAGATGTACAGTCAATTTTCCCTAGTAGTCTTGCAGCTCAGAATCGAAAATAAACAACTCAGGCAATTCAGTCACGGCTCACCTTTATGGTTGTTGACACATCGTAAGACAGAGAAAGAGAGGAAGAGAAATAAAGGGATAGAGAGAGAGACTAAAAGAGAAAGAGAGTGGAAGGGCGAGAGAGAGAGAGAGAGAGAGAGAGAGAGAGAACGAAAATCGAGACAGTCGACAAACTAAAAAGCCAGCAACCAGCATATCGGTGTACATTAATACAAATACACAATAATGCTAGAATAGAAACGATGGCCTAACGTTTTTTATTTCTAACTTCTTATACATGAAAATTTGTTTAGCATCTTGTGTGGTGAGATTCTTTTAGTTAAAATGACACCAAACACAACATGCTTTTTAGACCATATTTATTCAATTACATCCTGATTGATTTTGTTTTATGTACATTACAAATATTTGTCCAAACTGTAACATGTTTGGTCTCATTTTAATCAGAAAACTATCAGTAATATGTTTTAAAAAATTCAGTTTTAAAATGTTAACATTAAAAAAGTTATGTTACTGTATTATGAATTGACATTCCGGGAATCCTAGTCAAAGGAGCCGTGTCGCGGCCGCATCACACGCTTGACCGACTCCGTCGAATCTTAATAGCATAAGCGTAGGAATAACGCGTATAGGTGTAAGAATAGCACAGTGACAATCCAAGCCAGCCCATCACATGGACTATTAGGGAGAATTTGCTGTATTTTGGATTAAAAAATTCTGATTTCATGATAACTGTAGTTCTTATGAAGCTCATTATCTGCTCACGAGTATGGCGGCTATCTGCGTTGCTCGCCAGCAGATAGATACCCTTGTGCAACTATCTGATTCATCACCGATCCATACACAGACGGCGAGACATCTAAAACGGGCCACCTAAATAATTCGCTTGCTAGTAATGATAGAAAAAAGAATCAGAGAAAAGTTGTTTAATTTTGAAGGATATATTGGGTTGGCAACTAAATAATTGCCGATTTCAGTTATACATGTCTCTCACTCCCATTTTTATGATATCCGTAAATGTTATATTATACAATTATTATTATTATTATGTTATATTTTATTATCCGTGAATGTTAGCAACTGAACAAATTGAATGCAGCGGTCAAAGAAAAGCGACCAGAATTGGTCAATCGTAAAGGTGTCATTTTCCAGCAGGACAATGCTAGGCCGCGCACGTCTTTGTCCACTCGGCAAAAATTGGTGGATATTGGTTGGGAATTGTTGTTACACCCACCATATAGCCCTGATCTCGCGCCATCGGATTACCACTTATTTCGATCCCTGGACAACTCCCTTCGAGGTAAAACTTTTAATGACGATGACGCTGTAAAATCTCACTTAACTCAGTTTTTGGCCGAAAAGGATCAGACTTTCTACGAGCGTGGAATTTTGAAGTTGTCAGAGAGATGACAAAAGTTCATCGAACAAAATGGGAAATACATTACAGATTATAAACTTCATTCCAGGTAAAAAAAAATTTTATTTCATTGAACAAATCGGCAATTACTTAGTNGGAATCCTAGTCAAAGGAGCCGTGTCGCGGCCGCATCACACGCTTGACCGACTCCGTCGAATCTTAATAGCATAAGCGTAGGAATAACGCGTATAGGTGTAAGAATAGCACAGTGACAATCCAAGCCAGCCCATCACATGGACTATTAGGGAGAATTTGCTGTATTTTGGATTAAAAAATTCTGATTTCATGATAACTGTAGTTCTTATGAAGCTCATTATCTGCTCACGAGTATGGCGGCTATCTGCGTTGCTCGCCAGCAGATAGATACCCTTGTGCAACTATCTGATTCATCACCGATCCATACACAGACGGCGAGACATCTAAAACGGGCCACCTAAATAATTCGCTTGCTAGTAATGATAGAAAAAAGAATCAGAGAAAAGTTGTTTAATTTTGAAGGATATATTGGGTTGGCAACTAAATAATTGCCGATTTCAGTTATACATGTCTCTCACTCCCATTTTTATGATATCCGTAAATGTTATATTATACAATTATTATTATTATTATGTTATATTTTATTATCCGTGAATGTTAGCAACTGAACAAATTGAATGCAGCGGTCAAAGAAAAGCGACCAGAATTGGTCAATCGTAAAGGTGTCATTTTCCAGCAGGACAATGCTAGGCCGCGCACGTCTTTGTCCACTCGGCAAAAATTGGTGGATATTGGTTGGGAATTGTTGTTACACCCACCATATAGCCCTGATCTCGCGCCATCGGATTACCACTTATTTCGATCCCTGGACAACTCCCTTCGAGGTAAAACTTTTAATGACGATGACGCTGTAAAATCTCACTTAACTCAGTTTTTGGCCGAAAAGGATCAGACTTTCTACGAGCGTGGAATTTTGAAGTTGTCAGAGAGATGACAAAAGTTCATCGAACAAAATGGGAAATACATTACAGATTATAAACTTCATTCCAGGTAAAAAAAAATTTTATTTCATTGAACAAATCGGCAATTACTTAGTCGCCAACCAAATATAATATGAGGTCAAATGTCTTTTTTGTAGGTACAGACATAGAAGAGATTTAAAAATCTAACTTGATTTTTTTTAATGCCATAATATATTTTTATATTTATATTCTGATAGTGCTTTTCAAGACGAACACAATGACTTATAAATGATGATCATTCGAGATCACACCAGATCAACTGTAATAGAAAATAAATTGCTTGGAATTGTCTCCTCTGCTTGTTGGTGTCTTGTCCACATCGATTTCGTAATCGTTAAATATTGAATCACGTATAGCATTATCTGTGCTTTCTACTAATTTCAGTTTGTAGATTGATCAAAGACACAAGAGCTGAAAATATCTGTATGATTTTCATTTATGATGAATGACGATTCGCTTTAGGAAATGCATCGATGTATGTATACATCATTACTGTGAACACTTTTAAAGTATGTCAGTAAATGAATTAGTACCTTCATTAGTTACCTTCATTTCTAGGTTATCGTGTTCGTCTTGAATAGAAAGAATCAAAATAGAAAAGAAAATTATATCCTTTCTATTTAAAAAAAAATTTTACCTTTATATCTCCTCTACACCTCGAGCTATAAAAACAGTATTCACGTCACATTATGTACTCCTTGAAGTCAAACAATTTTGGCCCGATACCTTCTTTTTTATCATTACAAACAAGCGAGTTATTCAGGTAGCCTGTTTTACTTGCAAAATTGTGCGTATACGTTTCAAAACACTGGACTTTTTTAAAACTGGACTAAGTGACTTAAATGCTCTTGGGTGATAGGAGGACTAGTCTATTAGACGATGACTAAAATGCCTTTTTTAAATTTTGCTATTACTTAGAAAGACAAAATTAAAAAATTTTATCGAAATCAAATGAGTTACAATAAATTAAAGATGGCAAAAATCGCAGTTTTATCACGATTTTGACCAAAAACTGGAAGAAATCTTTCAACATCTATGTCTCGACTCTGAATTAACTGATTTCGATCAAATTTTTTTAATTCTTTTTTGTCATTCCAAGTAATAGCAAAATTTTAAAAAATGCATTTTGTCATCGTTTTGTAGACTAGTCCTCCTATCACCTAAAACAAAATTCGAGTCATTTAGTTCAGTTTTAAAGAAGTTAATTGCGTTTTAAAAGGTGTACGCTCAATTTTGTATGTGTGAGTAACTATATACCATTATATGGACAAACTTCCAATATTCGGTTCGATAGTTACGATAATAGCTTCATTATTGTAATAAAATTCTGGTAGTGGAGGTAGTGGACTCGAGAGACAGCAGTTCGTGAGCACCAGTTGCACAGAATTTCATTGCACTAATAAAACTTCAATCATATGTGTAGGTAGCGGACAAATATGTTTTCGGGCACTATTTAAAACGCAATAACTTTTATAAAACTGGACTAAATGGCAAACTAGACAATGACTAAAATGCTTTTTCGTTATTATGATATTACTTGGAATGACACAATAAAATATAAAAATCTCACTTTCAACGAATAACTGTCAGAAATCTGCAGTTTTTTAAATCTTTCAACGCTTGTAGCTTGATTCTGAACTAGCCGA